AGACAAAGAAGGAAAGAAGAAACCAAGAAGGAAAGCAAAAGAGAAAAGGAGAAAAAAAAGAGAGAAAAAAAAAGAAACAGGAGAGGGAGACGGAAAAGATGAAAAGAACAAAGAAGGAAGCAAGGAAAAAAAAAGACAGAAACACGCACCAAAAACGGACAAAGACGGAAAAAAATAAAAGACACAAAACGGACAAAGAAAGAACACGAGAGAACGAAATGACAAAAGAGAAAGAAGGAAACAAGAGAAAAAGAAGGCCACATGTAGCCTAGAATTCGAACCGTACACTCCCCAATGCGTTCCTGTTATAAAAAGAGATGACAACCCTTGGTAAGCAGAAATAATATTTATAAACCCAAGACCCACGAGGAGGTAAACGAGGTTTTACTTCCCTGTCGGCACAATGTACACAATTTAGGAGGCGGGCTTCGACCTCACCCGTTAGGGCCAACTCGGGCTAAAGGCGGCTACACATGTATGTTCTAAACTGCCGGTTCGGAACGGAAAGGCAAACCTGGCGGCAGAACCGCAGTTATGGATGAAAACCTGCTGCTAGTAAAAAGTTAAACCGGGAGGCCGAACTGGCGGTTTCAACCAGTGCTGGGCGCTTAGGTTCCCGTTTATTGAAAACTATAGGAATCGTAGGAATCGACTCCGACTCCGAACCCAATTACTTTCTCATAATGTGATTTTTTTCCCGTAGTTACCTGGTTGGCTACGAAAATTTTCAGGATTTCGGATACCCTTGATTTCAGAACACTGCGAAACACTATCTTTTCATTTTCAAAAATAAATTATTCTTTATAAAAGAAAATTTTAATGAATAAAGTGTGGAAATCGTGATTTTACGTAAAAAGGAATGGAGACATTTTTTTCCGAAGCACTAATGGCAGGAATCGGTTCCGGAATCAGTTCTTCGCCCAGCTCTAGTTTCAACATGTTTGGATTTTCTGACTACAGTTCGGCAAGTTCCGTCGACGACAGCCTTTGAGTGACGTCGCAGGCTTAACCGCCGGCTTATCTTGTCACTGCCAATATCTTCAAAATGATTTACCGCACATAAAATCTGATTATATTTTTCAAACGAGCTACCCAAGGTTCCAGCAGAATTTTTGTTTTTTCAACAATTAAAGAGATTTCTTAAATTGTCACATAACAATGCATTCACTGAAGGGATTCAGTACAGGTTTGGCCTCTGTGTCACGATGTGCAGTATTG